AATTATGTTTAATAAATTGAATTTGAAAATAGTTAATTGAAGTTGAAACAAGATTTTTCATGAGCTGTAACTAGCCAATTTTATGGTGCGTTACTGATACTTTTCTCATGATTTAGGAGTTTAGGAATTAGGACTATGGAAGATGTGCGTGTGGGTGGATGTCACGATGACATCATGCATGAAGTGTGTGGGTTGTTCTTTCAATAAAACCCCTCAATTTGCGGGTGGAGTTAGGGCTTGTTTACATTTACTAAACTGAGCTGAACTAAACGGAACTCAAGTGAACTGATTGGAGCTGAACTAAACTAAACTGATTGAAGCTGAACTGAACTAAACTGAATTGAACTGAGCTGAAATGAATATTTTATGAGAGAGGGAAATTAGGAGCTGAAATAAATTGAACTGAACTGATTGGAGCTTAACTGAAATTAAGTAAATGTGAACAGACCCATAATCTATTAAGATGGTTAGGAGTTTGGATCAATTCAAATTGATATTTTGCTCTTTTGGGAAGGGTTTTGTAATAGTCATGTGGGGGGCACGCGACGTGGTTGGTTCAACGTTAGAGAAAATAGTTAACGGCGGAAATCTGATAGAGGTAGTCTTTTATAATATCTTTTAATTTTTTTTACAGGATAATATCTTTTATTTAATAGGTTGTTGTTAAAAAAAAAAAAAAAAAAAAAAAAAAAAAAAAAAAAAAAAAAAAAAAAAAAAGGGTAGTTCATTACAACATTTTTTTTTTATTAGGTGGGATCTCAGAAATTCTCAATTATATTAGGTAGTTTTTGATAAAAAATTCCTAACAAACTTAAAATTCACAATTAAAATTTGCAACATTTAATAAGGTGGTTTAAGTTGTAACTCAAATTGATCATCAAAACTAACACCACCTTACAAAATTAAAGTTACAATGTCACATTTTGCAATTAGAAAGTTAAGGGTACTGGTACATACAAAGTTAGATATGAAAGTACCTTTAGAATTTCGCAAAAGTATAATTTTATACTTGTTTAAGTTAAGGTTACTCTTATAAAAATAATTGTACTTATTTGTCTAAAATAAATCAAATAGAGTGAATTGTCTAAAAAAAATTTTAATCTTTAGTGATTGCGAGAAGAACTACATCTAAGTAACGTAAAAGGCTAATATTATACAATGCAAATGTACGAACATTTTTGTTGGGGGAAAGGGGGGCAAAATAAACAAACACATTTAACAAAATTAATTTCCCAATTTGTAAAATAATCCACGAAATCTTCACTCAATAATATTTTTGGAATATAGAATATTTTATTAAGTACATTTACTAATTAATAACACCTTTTTCGTTGGAATTTTTACGTGTTGAAGGTCCAGAATACGGAATTAGTCGTTTTCCCTTATATGAAAAATAAGGACCATAACTATATATATGCCTATCTTCCATCATGTTTCTCTTGTTGTTGTTGTTGTTGTTGTTAATGTTGTCATCTCCGTTGCTATCATCGTTGTTGTCCTTGTTGATTGCGGAATCACGAAGGTGGCGGGTTGAATCACTTGTAATGATATAGAAAGCTAGAATTAGTACCAAGAAATAAACTTTGTTTCTCAAGTTTGAAGCCATTGCATGCATATAGTAAAAAATATAGAGAGAAGAAAAGAGAGGTTTTGTTTAATTTTATTGTTTTGAAATTTTTGGGTGGACTATTGTGTTTCGTAGATTACTCTTGTATATATTTTAGAAGCTAGACAAAGAGAGTGGGTTACCTGGATCGATTAGGCTGACATGTGTGAGGTTCTGATTCGGTTATTGGGCAATTTTTGTAAAAAAAAAATAAAAAAATTAAAATAAAGAGTGATGGTTTGTTAGTTTATGTGTTAGACTTTTAATAGGTTAGTTACACTTCAAATTAAAGTTTTCAATGTAAATTGTCAAACAATGTTGCATATAAAAAGTAAACATATACACTTCTCTCATTCTTTCTTCCTCGTTTTTGCCTTTTAAATTTTCAGTTTTGTTTGATTCAATTCTTGTCATTGTTTGTTTCTGTTTAAATACGGAGCAAATATATTATGAGTGTAATTAGATTATTTATTTTTATTTTTTTTTTGAAGGGGAGTGTAATTAGATTTTAATTGGACACATAAATAAACAATAATGGTAACATTGGTAATATTTACAAGAACTAGCTAATAGAAACCTTTTGTTTTATCAAATCAAATTAAAACTATACAACAATAGTTTAACAATAAGTAATTAAGGTAACAAATAGTTGGTTATAAAATCATTAAAAAATATAAGCAAAACTAACAACATTAATAACTTCGATACAAAAATAAAAATGAAAAACAACAACATTAATATTTTTTGATTGATAATTAACGTATGCATATGCTAATAATGTAGTTTAAATTTTCTATATCAGGTCAGATTTCATCTAACTGGTAAATTTAAATTAACGGTTTTAAATATGCAACAACGAGCTAACCTAATTTAACGGTAAACTAACCGTCAATTACTTTTTAAAGTATACACAGCATATGCAAAATGTAACGCCAAATCAAATATTTTTTAACAACATTAATAATTGTACATATCGATACAATTTGCAACTACTAATTAGGTAATTTAACGGTTTAATTTGTCATATCATAATTAACCTAATCACGCTAGCTAACTCTTATTAACTACGTGTTAAAAAAAATATTAGTATATATGATATGTATTTTTATCTCCTATCTTTATTGGTATATTTAGTTTATGATAGGAGAGTGGTGCCACCTAGAATAGGTTGATCTGTGCAAGATTTTGGTCTAGTAGCACAAATTAGACAACATACCCGGTTAGATGTAGTAGTTCTACATGCACATTGATGGAGTGATTTTAGTATATTCTTGTAACAAAATGCATATGTATATACTATATAAATATATAATAGAACAGTAATAACATTATAATAAAAGCACAAACTAACATATATATTAATAAATAAAAAGCATATCACATTGGTAATGAGTTGAAAAGCACCTACATAGACAACAATAAAAAAATGAATAGCATTAACAACATTCGGCATCATTATGAAATTACTTAATATTTTTATTAAAATAAACATATAAATATAGTAAAATACAAGCAAAATAGATTGTTGTTTTACGACTTTTACCCATTTATTTATTGTATGTAAATCTATTTACATACAATTAGGTATATCTTCTTTCAATTAGTGGCCGGCTTAACTTTTGAAGCATAGTATTCCCAAACAAGTACAGGTAAGTATCCCACATTTATAAAAGATGAGGGAGAGAAACACTTTATAAAGTTTAGGGACCATTCCTCATATTGTCATATGATTTTAGGATGAAAACTCATTGGACTTTTGAATTAAACTTTCTCAATCGATGACGATGTGGCACATGGATGAAATGAACTCTCTTATTTAGCTTCGTTAGTGATGGAATTTTGATCAGGAAAATACTTTGAGAAATTTTTTATATTTACTATTTTAGATTTATAATTGTGAAACAATGTTGCATGTAACGTATAACTGACTAGGGAAAGACTTTGAGACAATGTATTTCAGTATATCTAGAAATTTCTCCAAGTGAAACAAATATAATGTAAACCCTTTGTTTTGTTTGATTCAATTTTAATTTCTCCGTTATTTGCTAATTTAATTTGAAGTTTTTCCTCAATTTTACAAGGATTATAACATAGAAAAATGATAAATTGTGAGAGAAAGAATGAAAAGGCGGGAAATAGGGTGAGAAGGTAGTTAGTGGGTCTCACATGACATCACACTTTAGTTCAGAACCAAATAGGTGGAAAGTTTTGATGATTTAAAAAAATAATAGGTGGTAATTGCTAAAACGCCAATATTTATAGGTGGTAATTGTCAAAAAAATCTTCTTGTTTAACTAATATTGGTGCATTTCTTCAGATACTATATATATGGCGCATGGGAAAATAATTTTATAAAAAAAATATTACTTCCTCGTAAAACTCCACACCAAAAAAATTTGCAAAAATGAATATACTCTAAAATTGACGAGTTTTTCCCAATTTTAAAGGGTATATTACAAATTATACGATAAATTCTCAGAACATCTAACTAATACATCAAAATTTGGAGCTACATTTGTATGGACCAATCATTATTTTAGACAACTTAAGCTGATATATTCATATACTAGAAGAGATTATTATAATAATAATTATTGTTATTAATTATGTCCAGCGCCAGGAACAAGATTTCCACGAGTGTCTCTACCTCTTGAAGGTCCAGATGAATGAGTTGGTTTCTTTCCTTTTCCCTTGGGGCTCAAATCAGCCATGATTCTATTCTTGTTAGCACCATTATGTACGTCGTTGTTCGCCTCGACGCCGTTATCTTGATGGTGAGGAGTTGCTTCACTAGCAATGATGATAGAGCAAACTACAAATAATACCAAGAGAACAGCTTTGTTTCCCATGTTTGAAGATATTATGGGTGAATTAAAAGAGAGTTTTGCTTTGTTATAATTATTATTGATCAAGTTTGTAGGAAGATGATTGTAAAAGGTGATTTGCATGTTAATTTATAGATTAATGGCATTGCAAAATGTAGAAGATTAAGATTGATTATAGGAAGGATTGTTTTATAGCTAATTAATAAGAGGCATATGATGCATTGTAATTTATGCCCTTTTGAATATTAGTATGTAATTATTATTAGAACTTATTTTAACAATGCAAAAAACAATTCAAATAGGTCAGATTTTAGAGCAAGCTAGAAATAGTGCCATGAAAAAGTTTGATTCCATCTGCATGAAAAAACAAGTGAGAGGTCTGCTATATAATCAAGATGCAAATTCTTGGGTAGATGGTTTGTGTTTGTGTACACCTGGTGGATTTTTCTAGTATAGTTTTGAAAAGTTAAGCAAGTGCAGTGACCATACTCGGGAGTAGGAATTTACTAAACTTCTCACTCTATTCTCAAGCGTTGACCTCCTGGTATGATAACCAGGTTTGATAACCATTGCCAATTTACCACAACAGACCAATTATTATAATTAAGATAGTTTGTCTTCTTACACACTGAATAATACCTAAAATAAACTACCCAGAGAAATAGACCTGGGATAATCAAGCCAACCTAAGCACTAGGATTCTAAATTCTCTGCCCACAGGCCACAATACATCTTTAAAAGACGAGTAAAGAAAAAAGTTTGCAGCTTGTATATTTTGTCTTAGTTCCAGGATAGACGAAATTTTGTTGCAGCAATGATGATGCTCCAGCCAACAAACCTAACCGTCCATCACAGAACAGAAGCAAGGCCAACCTTCTTAGGTTCTACTATTTTGTTTTTTGGATTGGCATTGCGTGATACATCCACCAGAGCCTTGAAGCTGTAGGGCTCGTGCATGGCCAGTTCTGACAAGACCTTTCTGTTTAGCTGTATGTTTTCCTTCATCAGCCCACACATGAAGTTACCATAGTTTACCTGCAGCCATAAGAATAGGGATATTTAATGATGAAGAATACTTTAGGACAACTCAGATGACAATTCAAACGATATATACATCATCATACACTGAAAGAGTAGAACTAAAATTGTTCCTGCACATTGACAGCACTCCAAAACAAAAATACATATACTACAATGCCTCTACAGATGCTCCTATTTTTGGCACGGCCAAAGGGGTCCAAAACACGACAACAAAGAGGTGGTTTCCAGCTGATCCTAAAACCAGTGCGCATTGATCACTTCATATGTCAATGAAAGAGAGACCCAGGCGCAATGATTGCTTCACAATTCAATGTAAGAGAGACCAAGACTATGAGCCATTCTATTTTAATTCATTATAATCCAAATGTTGGAAGACAGTGTTTCTTTAACTTCATTCCATTAAACACCAAAAAACACTTTTTTTTAAAGATAATAACGGATCTACCTTTACCTAATAGCTACTTGTGATTGCACTTATTGTAGATTGGACAACCCCCCCTTCCCCCCCTCCCTCTTTCCAAAAAAAGAACAAACTCCAGATCTCTGTTACAACAATTTCCAGCCATTATTTTAATTTCCTAATACAGCTTTGTGCAAGAGAAACCATCTGGAATAATTGACGCCTGTAATTGTGACATGGCAAAAGGACTGGCATTATATAACAAATTTTTGCCAAATCCAGTCTCCAAAATCACAGCAAAGTTAGCCTCAACAAAAACTCTTTATCTCACCAAGATGAACATCACTCCTCACATTTTATTCTAGATATAGGACATTAGGACGGGAGCTCCACACACATTTGATAAAGAAATTAATGAGAATCACATCCAACATAAGGCTCTTTCTGTAGAATGTGAACGCCGGCTAGTGTCTGGGGTTGTCTGATGCGAAGATTGATTTCCCTTGATCACCTTAAAATCTTTAATAGAGGTTGTGGCGCCATATCTCTTATTACAACATTCTGTAATTCACCTTCCTGGGTTAGCTTACACAACCAGTGGAGCATACTTAATCTATCACCATTAACTTAAGGACATTCGTGTAGGAACAATTTCACACTTTTCTCCCAGAAAAAAGACAAAAGATCCAGATTCAAGAAAATAATCTATTCGTGAGGTTAAGAGTCCTTCAAGTCTTCAACCCTAGTAAATTTTTCTGCAAAAAATTCATCTACAATATTGTTTATGAGGAGACAACAAAGATTGTTGTACAATAGAATGCTTCACTTATAGAGTTATAGGCAATACTGTTCATCAGTACAATACCAAAATAAAAGCTTCCCAAGATGTTGGATGAACACAACTAACATGAACACAGCACTATATACCCTAGTGAGTTGTTGGACCACACCACTCAGTAAAACCAAGTAGCAGGCAATACGAATTTCGTAGAAACCAAATTATTAGTGTTCTTCCACAGGTCATAGGATTCATGAAGTTTATTGAAATTTCAGAAGATTAGTAATACAAACAGTTGCTATTGTTTGACACCCCAATATACAATATGACTCTTCAGAGAAGATCAGAACCCAAAATGATTTAACATAACTCAGAGTATGACTTCCTAAAGTGATGACTCAAAAATTAATAAATTTTAAAGATGGAACAACAGTTCCATAAGAAATTTTTCACTTTGCATCTTAGGTTACTGGTCTTTAAGCTCATTAACCAATATAATTGACAAAGAACAAACCTTGAACATTTCAGATTTACTCAAACCCAAGATTATTTTTGGAACTTAGGTAGGGATCTCAAAATAATACTCTCAAGTTCACACAGGCTACAATTTTAAATCAATTTATACAAGCATAGATGTGATCAAGCTCTATAATTAAATATACTTACGCCGTGTTGGCGGGCACCAGCATTGATGCGTTCAATCCAAAGAGAGCGCATATCACGCTTCTTGTTGCGGCGATCCCTATAAGAGTACTGAAGTGCCTTTTCCACTCTCTCCCTAGCTATTCTTATGCAATTCTTTGCTCTGCCTCTAAACCCCTTTGCTAGTTTGAATATCTTCTTCTTGTTCATTTTTGTTTCTCTCGGGCAACAGAGATGATTTTACTCTGTTTGCAGAACAGGTTATTATCACAGCAACAACAACAACAACAACAACAACAACAACAACAACAAAAATAAAAAAAAATAAAAAAAAAAACCAATTATTGCAGTAGCACCGACGATATTGCAGCAGTGAAAAAAGCAGCCTGTTACAACAGCAAAGAAAACTGCAGCTGCGACAAAAATCACAAGCATACAGCAATAGTACCAACAGCACAACAAACCAACAAGCAACAACAGCAGCAGACATGAGCAGCTCTAAACAATCACATGGTGAAGATAAAGAATTCTTAACATGAATATCCATTGGAAAGAAGCAGAGCTACTTCGCCTGATTAATTGTGATGTAACCTAAGCTGCGTTAGGAGCCTTAGGACCAGAACAGGTGAGCCATCAGCGACAAGTTAAGAATTAATTCATTACTAATAAATGAATAATGGAGTTCAGAAATTTAGCCTAGCTGAATGATCACTGGAGACCAACTAATTGAGCTCTGGAACTAGAACCTATGGCTAAGTTTAGACGGTCGAAATAAATCATACTGTTTGGCAGAAGTGCCAGAAACACCGGAAAATCGCCAAGCAAAATTCATACAAAAGAGAACACCTTAAAAACCTAATCACAGGGTTTAAGCTAGAAAAGGTTCACACCGCCTCGCCTATGAGTAGCTAGCAATGAAGTTATCCATACTAATGATTCAATAGTATGAACACCTCAAAAATGCCATTGAAAATCTAAAATGCGCAGAATCAGATAATGATGCACAGAACATGATATCGCAACTTCGTCAGCACGAGTAACAAGCAATGAAGTTATTTATACTAATGATTCAAAAGAATGAACACCTCAAAAATGCCATTGAATATCAAAAACGCGCAGAATCAGCTAATGTTACACAGAACATGATATCGCAACTGCGTCAACACGAGTGACAAGCAATGAAGTTATTTATCCTATGATTCAACAGAATGAACACCTCAAAAATGCCACTGAATATCAAAAACGCGCAGAATCAGCTCATGATACACAGAACATGATATCGCAACGGCTTCAACAGCTCAAAAACCCTACATTCTTGCTTCAATTGATAGTATTTTGTAAATGAAGGGGAAGAGGTCTAATTTCATAGTTCAATCCTAAAATTAAAGGGTTATGCAATACATTAGCAACCAAATTTGATTCAATCATCAAATAAAGCTCATAATTATAGATTCAATCATCAATTAGGCTCATTATTTTCTTTTATAACAACATAATCGCTGATATTGAGCTTTCATAATCTAATTAGAATCAATAGTTGAGAATTTCGAACCCTAATCTACTACACTGACAATTAAATTAAAGTAAACCCTGGATTGTGAAATTGATATGATGATTACAAAAAGAAACAAATACTTACCTACGAAGCTGCTTCAATGGAGGATACAGATATTAGATGGCGCCTCAATGGAGAACGTCAAGTGCGCTTCAATGGAGAAGTGAGAGAGAGGAGGAGTTTGATAATTACTAAAACCCCTGACCCGCCCCAGTTATAAATGGGTTAGATCCGTCCAATTAATGAATTGGGCGGGTCTTTATTGAGTTATCCAATTATGGATTAGTAATAATGACGAACACAGTTTTGAATTAGAAATAAATCTCCGGAGTACTCTCTCTATTTTTAAAAACTTGCTTCATTTCTTCATGTGCGGAGCTTTTTCGGATAAATTAGGATAAGTAATAGTAAAATATAGAGGTAGTGGAGTAAGTGGAAGGTAAATTAGATAAGAGAGAATCTAAAAGTAACAAATTGGCTCCCACTAGTTGAGAAAAATGAATTAAATATTATAAAAACTTTCCAAATAAGGAAATAGAGCAAGTATTTAAAAGCAGCCGTAAAAGGAAAATAGAGCAAGTATTTAAAATTGGAGGGAGAACAAACTTCTTCGTCGGTGAATATGCCCGGCACCGGTACGGTACTTTAGTTTAATTTACTTTTTAGAGTGTTTGTTTAGTTTTCTGCTGACTTGTTAATTGTGTTTTTTGATGTGTGCAACAGGTAGAATGGACATTGAACATTTTCCATATAAAGACAGGATCCCTAACATCATGATGCCGTTCCTGGACGGGTGGAATGATGTGGTTGCAGATGGTAACTGCGGATTTCGGGTTGTGGCTGATGTGTTTCAGATGGGTGAAGACAACTACGGTTTAGTGCGTCAGTTGATGTACAGTGAAATCGCCTCAAACCGAGCTGTTTATCGCCACGTGTACGGACAGGACTTGGATAGGTCTCTGCAGCGTATCCGGTGGGGAGGAGGACGTTGCGGTCAAAATCATTGGTTCGACGCGCCACTTGATCTCTTCGCCGTTGCAAACATCTACAAGTGTGCAGTGATGCATTTCGGCCTTGGTTTGCATGGTGGAGCTTACTATCCATGTACCACGGTTCTGCCTTGGTGTTCGCGTGAGACCGTCACCAGACCGGTAAGAGAGGTTGCTATTGGATTTCTGGGGCCGTCATACAGACATTTCATCCGACTGGACCTGTCACCCGATTTTCCGGTCCCACCGATCATACCAACGTGGTACACCATTCGTACAGCAAGCGTAGAGGGCTGGGATGCGCTATATCATGACCGGGTGCAGCAGTGGAACAATCTAGTTGCCTTTTCTATGTGACCTTCTATTGTTATTGCTATGTTTTTCCCATTTATTTAATTTTCGGATTCTAATTTTCGTATTTAGTTTTCCCATTTAAATGTGAACTTGTATTTAATTTTCGTATGCCCACTAATTACAACTTAAAATAAAAATTATAAAAACTAAAAATATAATGTCAAATTCTAAGAACTTAAAATAATAATTATAAGAATAGATAATGTTAACTTTTACAAACAACTAGGAAAATGTTATATAAATGCACTGCCGACATATCAATAATCTCTCTGTGACGCCCACTGCCACTGCTCAAGGGCCCGTTCCAGTTCATCAATAACAGCTCTGCCTGTTGCAGTCGTCATGTTGTCCCTCTCCTCAAAAAGTCTGTGTCCCAACTGCGTCATCTTTCCCATCCACTACACATAACAAAACACATACAATTCAATAACGACGTATTATATGAAAAAAAACACAACTACAAATGTTTTATGAGACGTACCGCATCCACGGCAGTGGGCGGTGGCACATCATCATCATCGGCGTCGTCGCCGTGGTGGACGTCTCTGATCAACCTCGGGTGCGAGTGCCGGTTGTACCACTCCATGTAGTGCTGGTCACACATGGCAGCCACCCCAGTTGGCGGCCGCTGCAGCTGCTCAATCCATATGCGGGCAACCATCGGAAACTGCTCCCACGTGCCAATCATGCTTGCCGGCCATTGGACGACGTACTCCTTCGACGACGCAGATCGGACGGCCTTACTGGGCCATGCTGGTGGAGGAGGAACAACTTGGACATATCCAAGCTGGCGAAGACAGCGCTGCGGCATGTACGCCTCTACGATCTCACGATACTGAATCAGTCCCGTGTAGAGGGTCCTGGGTACCCTATTACTAGGGTTCTGGCCGAAAGGCATCCAGTTCACCTGCACATTTTTTAAAATTAGTAAGATTCATACAATAAACACATCAAACTATAAAAGTAGAAATAATTTAAACACTTTACCTCTAATGGGGACATCCTGTCAAGCAATAACCGTATCGATCGCAGGCGGTCAATGGACTTCTTCTCGACACGCGGACTCCACGCACAGGCACGTGGCTGGCCATCCCCAATAGGAACCGGGTCGCGGTGTGGTCGAAACGCCGGGAAATACTCGTATATCCACGTCTGTAACAACGTCATACATCCAGTGATACCCGCCGCATCAGCCCGGCTCGAGAATCCTAACTGGCGATACATGTACGCTAATGTAGCCGACCCCCAAGAAAACTGGCCTACTCTGTCGGGCTCACACGCGTCAACTATGTCGCGTGGCCTGAGCTTGTTTCCGCTCTTATCCGGAAACAAGGTACACCCGAGAAGAAGAAAAACATATGCAGCCAGCTGTGTGTCCTGCGTCCTACGTGAAGTGGGGTGCAAACATCGCTGCAAAACTGCTGCGATCTTAACACCGCCGTGATCCCACACACCAAGTGCCGCTGTGTACAGCGCAGCCCTATCCACCGCCAACAGCTCCGCCAATAAATCTGCCTGATCCGCATCTGTGACAACAGATGCTCGGTTTCCCTCTACGGGAATCCCAAGGATGGCCTCGACGTCATGCAACATGATCGTCATCTCACCGAACGGAAGGTGGAAAGAGTTCGTGTCCGGCTGCCATCGCTCAACGAAAGCCGTGATCAGCGTCGAGTCAATCCTCTCATGCATGGTGGCAGGAAGGTGGCTCACTCTAGTGCCCCTCAATCGGCCGACCATCTCGCTCTCCTCCGGCCAAGCCTCAGCCCAACTACACAAGAAGTTACAAGTCCTCTCCCGGGTTTGGCATTTCAAAATGCCGCTATCCAAAGCCCGCTCTTGGTCCTCCCAAATACGGGTAGCGATGTGTCCTAGAAAGCTAGGAATCACACTCCCGTCTATAGGTCCCCCAGCCACCTCGCCCCTCACCACCCAAGAATCATTAACGGCCCTCGACCGTTTTCTGCTAACCGCAGACACAGTGGACGCAGATGATGTGCCAGATCTACTAACAAATCTACCATCTCTACCCTTACGCACGTCTACCCTACGCGTCTCATACACATCATCAAGCCTCTGACTGAATGGACCGTAATCATCATATGGTCCACTCTGATCGTCCACATCCTCATCTGCATCCTCCTCCTCCTCCTCCTCATCACCATCATCATCTTCATCATCCTCAGAATAGTGCACCCGTTCTCTACGAGCCGAGGCCGAAATACCACGGGATCTAACGTGTCTGGGCCCCGAGCTCTCCATTGAGTTGATCGTACTTCTCATAATGTTCATACTCTTCCCAGCCGCAGAACGAAAATACGATGCCTAACACAAAATAACAAAACATGTAATATGCAATATAAACATGTAATATAAACATAAAAAAAGTAATTAAAATAAATAAATAAAACAATATACATATGATGGAAAATAAATTAAAAACATTACAAAATATTAACAACCTAAAAATAAAAAAATTAATAACCTAATAAATAAATAAATAAAAAATTGGAAAAAACAAAGCAAAAAAAAAAATTACCCAAAAAAAACAAATTGGAAAAAACAAAGTAAAAAAAAATTAAAAAATAAAACGGAAAAACAAAAACAAAAAAAAAGCAAAAAAAAAATTTGAAAATATAATTCAAAAAAAAATAAAAGAAAATGAAAAAAAAAAAAAAATTAGGGTTCCGGCGCCTGTCCCAGACGCCAGAGCCACGGTGGTGGCGCCTGGGCAGGACGCCGGTGCCACGGTGTTGGCGTCTGACGTGGACGCCGCCACTGTGGTACCGGCGCCCTGCCCAGGCGCCATCACCGTGGCAATGGCGTCTGGGACAGGCGCCGGAACCGTGGTGTCGGCGTCTGGGCCAAACGCCGCCGCCCATTCGCCGCCGTCCAGCCACCAGTCGCCGCCGGGCCGCCACCTTTTCCGGTTTTTTTTTTTTTTTTTTTTTAAATAAAAAAATTAACAAAAAAAAAAAAACATACCTTTCCTCCTCCAAACCCCCTTGCTCCGGCCACCGGTGTCGCCACTTCCCTGCCTTGCCGCCTCGACATTTTGAAAAAATATTTTCGAGAGAGAAAGTGAGACTACAAAGTTAAGAGAAGATGAGAGTGTGTTTTTTACTAGAGTAGAGAGAATATAATTTTAGTTCGAGGGCAAAAGAGTCATTTCACTTTTAATTTGTGGGCTTTATGTGGAGATTTGCGGGCGATGTTTAGCAGTTGGGTTCATGTTGACCCATTTATAATTAAAATAGGGATGGGGTGACGGGTCAACTCGAACACAACCCAAATTAAACAAGTCAGGTTAAGATTGAAAAATTAAACTCGAAAACTTTAAACGCTTGTTTGTCCTCGTTTTTTGTTTTCATTCTTTTAAAAAAAATACAGAAAACAAGAAGAAAAAAAAGTTGTTCACTTTTCTTTTGTCAGTTTTTAAAATTATCATAATTTTAATAAGTTTGATTCATTTTTTATTGTATATTATATGATTTTGAAAAATAAAAAACCAAAAATAGAAAACCATAGTGATGTCAAACAAACCCTACAGGTTGGGTTGGAAAAAGGGGGATAGTCAATATCATGAATTACTCTCCTCCTTTTTCCTCCTTTCTCTCTCCAAAACCTAGCCTCCATTGTTGAATTTTGTAGACGCTTTCATCGATTTTAATCAGTGGAAAGCCCCAATCCTTGTTTCTTTATTGTTTTTTTAGGTTTATAATAATGCTTCCTCCTTTTGGGAGGAACTTTTCTCCCTCGAAAGAAAGGGTTTCCAATCTCCTTCGAAAGACAAGGGTTTTTCGATCTCCTTCGAAAGACAAGGGTTTTTTCGATCTCCTTCGAAAGACAAGGTTTATCTCCTCTTTTTGAGGGAGAAATTTCTTAGTTTTGAATCCATGGTAGCAGATCTAATGGATTGTCGTGAAATTATTTCGTTGGTGAAAAAGTTATCAAGTTTTCGAATACGAACAGATGAATCAGAAGGAAAATATCCTCACGGCTACAAAGGATCGTTAGATTGTCTCTCCAACAAGGCTGTAATTTTCAGCGATATAAGCGGGAGATGCTCCGCAGTGCAAGATCTACTCGATGATCTAGTTTTTATGAAGGAAAATCTTATTTGATTCAATATCTTATGTATTTGTTAACGTCGAATCTCTATTGTAGATGTCGTATGACTTTTAATTAATGAAATATTTTTGCTATTACAAAAAAGGGGGGGATAGTCAATCCAATAGAGTTGATTTGAACACGAACTCAACCCAACCCAACCATATTGTCAAACCTACACACACCAACGTTGTATCAATTCTATGTAAGATTTATTTGGGATTTTTTTTATTGTTGAAAAGGACAAATAAAAAAAAAAGGGCAAAACGGTTCCATTTTCGTCCTCCAATCAAACCTAAATTAGACTTGTTGCCGCTTTTCGATTTATTATAATGGGTGTTTCAAAGAGATTTACTTGTAGAAAGTCTCAATTTCTCACATGAGAAACAATAGGGTGTTTCTCAAAATGGAATTTATGTAAATAAGGAGAATCGTATATTAATTAACAAAAAAAAAAAAAAGGGTAATTTTTTTTGTCCTTTTCTTCTTCTGACTCTGTCTTCTTCAACCCTCCTACTTCCTCCTCCTCCTCCATCCAACAATTTTTTCCTCCATCTTTTTCTTGCATTATTGCTCCTCCATGGTAATAGCTCACGAACACCACTTTCACTAGCACATTTTCAATGACCTTGTCGGTGGATAAAATGAAAAACTCTAATCGAAAAGGATGAAAAGAATGGTATGATTATGATTACAAACCTTTGGCATGTACAATCTCCCCATTAAAGTCTAGTTTCTCCATTTTGACTATTCTTTAATGAAAACTTTTTATTAAACTTGACGAAATATGAAAATTGATGACCTTGATTTAATTTAGGGATTAGTTTTATACTTTTATGTGATAATTCGAAATTTATGCAATGAATATAAGTTGCTTAGCATTAGCATTGTTTTTGAGAATTTTGGCACAAGGGAATATTTAAGAAGAGATCTTTTCCTTTTCCTTCGAAAATGTAAAAACCTTCACCCGCCACGGGGTACCTCCTTTAAAACAAATGTTAACCCTACACATCATTTTCAAAAGGGCAAAGATTAGAGAAAGGGTTAATTGTAATCTCCCACTAGACCTCTATTCTATCTTCAAAACAATCACTGGGCATTAAAAATGAAACAACAAAAACTTGTGGAAAACCAGCAGAGTTCCAGAGCAAACCACACGATATAGCAGAATGGGTAAAATGTGGAAGCAGAAGCGAAAGCTAGTTAAAGTTCATAATGCACACTTCATATGCTATGGAATAAGAATTTCATACTCAGCAGATATTTAACAACTCCTCACTCATTAATGGTAAATTGGCAAACGTTCAAAAACCAACACAGCAAAATTTTTAATTTAATTCCCAAGTTTTGTAGAGCTAAAAGAGCACACTACTACAACTAAAATTATAGGATAAAAATTGAACTCCTCGTAGATCACTTCTTCTTCTCGGTACCACCAGCAGACCTGCCCAAACATCATATTAAACATGGTTAATCAAAAGGCAGTGATAATATGATACTCTTCTAGTCAATAGCAACCTATCAACTGAATGAGAATATAGATTAAACAGTGTCAAGTACCTCATCTTCCTGAGAACATTTGACATCTCCTCTCTCTTCCTCTTTGCCCTCTTGTGAGTTCCGAGCTTTCTCTTTGCCAACTTCAGTGCCCGCTTGTCCTTACCAACCTTCAACAGCTCAGTGATTCTCTTCTCATATGGAGCAAATCCAGCAACCTCTCGGATGATACTCCTCACAAAGAGTACCCTCTTGCTAGTTTTCTGCAAAGCAAAATACCAGTTCAGACACAACACTTACATGAGTCACAGACATGATAAACGTAACAAAGGTATAGAACATTGAAACATTTTATTCATAATGGATTATCAAGGAGAATAGCATACCCCTGTTCTGTCTGATGGCCTGGGAGCCAATTCCTTCTTGGTGACGATGTGACCCTTGTTAAGGCCAACAATAAGACCGGTGTTTGGTGGTTTAGGAGCCATTACCTGAAAAGAAACCGCAACAAAACACAAATCAAAACAATGAACACACTTAGATGAACTCAACAAATGAAGGGTACACGCCACTGAATGAAATGCCAATAACACAGCAGATCAAAACATAAACATATCAAGAATCAAGACTACCAAATCAACAGTTGAATTAAGAAACATACAATTCCGCTGCTGGACCTAAAAAATCAACTCATCGAGCTAAAACCATATACAAAAAAGGTAAAGCAATGCCTTCTAGTCCTCCAGCCCACCATTAACTAACACACATCATATGAAACTTAAGAACACATGCATAGAAGATAATCAATGTATCCGTGGGGCATACGAAACGCGATATAGGGATCTGTTTAACAATTTTAATACAACAAAGACTACGTCACAAAATGATTTGGGGCCGGCTAACATAAATCAATTGAATAGAGCATAGCAAGATAATCAATTGAATAAAAGTGGGAAATAAGTATCTATTTAGATCAATCCCTCGACCCCAAACATAACCCATATAACATAGAAGCACAATTATCAATCCAATTAAAGTTTTCCACATTCAGCACTCCAACAAGAACACATTCAAATCTTCCACATTCCCTTCTTCTTCTCCACAACTAAACAAACCCACTTTTTCATTTCTACGAATAAGACAATAAACCCCCTATAAAATTCATTATCTAAATCACCCAATAAAGCACTAATTACATAATTGCATCGTTAATTCTACCGCTAATTAATTAAGCTAAATTAATTAAGCATTAAAAATATGAGCAAGTCCAAATTTAACATCGAAATAATTTACTAAAAAATACAAGCAAATTATTCAGAAGCAATTTTAAACTACTACAACCAAATAATAATTCATAAAAATGTAGTGCATTCATACAATTAACAATTTTAAACAAATATCAAATTAAATTTGAAATAAACAAGAAGACTTACGAGTAATATAAAATTAAAATGGAACTAAAGAATTTAATTCGAAAAATAAAAAAGGATTACCTGGAGAACGAAGGGTTTCGGGATGAACTGGGGAATGGAAATGAGGAAGAACAAGAAAGAGAGTAGAGGCAACTGCGAGTGGTTTTGATATTGTTAGGGTTTTTCTCTCAACCGTCGGATTGGTTTCTTTATCCAACGGTTATGATGGCTTTATAATGATAGTGTAGGGTTGGTTTATTGACTTTTGAGTGTTTGGGCTTTTGGGCTTTTGGGTTAATTGATTCATCGAAGATGGGTTGAGTCTAGTTCTTTTTATTTTTGTTATTATTATTTTTTTAAGGAAAACATGAAAGCCCGAGTCTTTTTTTTTTTTTTTTGACAAAAGTTGTAAAGACAACTAATTATTATTAGAGCAGTAGAGCTCAAGCAAAAATTAGTAACAATTACATCCTCTACTGTGTAACTTGACTTGAATGTTAAAAAAAAATTATAATCAATTATAGAAAATATAAATTTGTGTAAATCAAATGAAAAACTTGTAATTAAATCGTATAATGTAGCATTGTGCTTATGTAAAACCGTTTATAGCAACGCTTCTATAATTAATTTGACATGGTGGCCGCGTCAAATTAATTGAATGCTCTCTCTGCTTGGTACAAAAATGCTTCTATAGTTATCCATCTCTAAGATCGAAAAGGGTATCTAATTGACTATTGAAATACGACTTTTTTTTTTACTTATAGGTATACGTATACCAATATATACAAGGACATATTGAACTTTTCCTCACCACATAGGAGTAGTTTTGAACTGTATATAAAGAATAGAGACATTAGAGATTAATCGAGAGTTTCATAGCTCTTTAACCGCAAAATACTCCTAATAGTGGATTATAATTACAAGATTCAATTTTGTAGCATGTTTGATAAATTATGAGCATGAACATTAAATATAATTTCTATGCAATGGAACAAATATGTAAGAAAATTGTACAATTTGGAGGACTCGATTAAGACACATTGACTTGGTAGAAGCATCATGGTATAATTAATTGATTACACATAAAATCTAACATCAACATCATTAGTACCAAAGATATTTCAGGTCAATGTACTCCAACTCCAACCTACCAAGTGTTCATCTGTATACCAATCTCACAACTTTAAATAAGTGAAGACTAGCTGCTCTTTAGTCATGATCAGATAAGCTGTTAACATGTGAATTTCACAGATCAAATCATGATATAATCCTTGCTTTTGTTGCTAGATATTTCACCCTCTTGATCTTCCATGTCCATGTGGCATGGAAGATCAAATCCCACTTCCCCTCTTTCTCATGATCTCACAATCTATCTTTCTCATGATCTCACAATCTATGGTTAAGTATTGGCGCATAACAGCTATAAGACAAAAAACTGATTAATTTTTTTTTTCCCGGTGCTACAAATATTATACCACTATTAGTTATTATGGTTATAAATAGTACTACTAAAATAACCTATACTCTAATACTATAAATCACATATATAATAGTATATTAAAATTACCACTATAAGTATAATGGTATATTAAAAGTACCACTAAAACAATAAAAAAAAAATGTGAATCTATCAGTTAGCCCTCCTACATGCATTCTAAATAAATAGCTGTTATGCGTCTAGTTACACTCCCAACATGTCTATTATACAACCAAATATATACGTAGTATATTCAGTTGCCAGATATTACACCCTCTTGATCTTCCATATGGCATGGCTACAGTATCCCACTTCCCCCTTTCTCGGCAATCTCACAATCTACAACATGTCTATTATACAACCCAATACATAGGTATATTGAGACATCATATTTGGGATTCCTTTAAAGTAAGTCTTTTGTACATCTAGGTGTGTATATATCGAGGGCAACCTTAGCGCCTATTCTGATTGACTAAGCTGAGCTTAGTTGAACTAAATATTTTATGAGGGAAGGAAATTAAGAACCGAAATGAACTTAACTTATTAGAGCTGAGCAAAACTGAAAATAAGCTTCATCGGAACTGGCCCTTAGTCTTCAAGTATTCGAACTAAGGAATGTATGCAGGAAAACTGTATTGATTCTGGACTTCTGGTAGTGTTAACATTGCTCCTGACATTTTGTATAGTCAACTAAATTCTCCATGTCACAAAAATATGGATTTAATGATGATTCATTTCAGAATTGTTGTTTCTTTGGTACTGTTTGACTATTAAACTCCCAACCAAAACGTAATCAAGTTGACAGGTTTTTGAAATAGAATACTTTGCCAGTTGCCACCTATGATGCACGGACCTATGATGCACGGACACGCCTGCCAAGTGGCGTGTCCGAGTCGACACGCGTGTCGGACACGGACACGCGTGGGACACGGGGGGATACGTCTTGGACACGCGAAAATCCGTGTCCGTTTTTTTTTTTGAATTTCTTCTGTACGGACACGGGCCGTGTCTCACCCAGACACGGTCCGTTTTGTGATGGACACGCAATTACGGCTTTACAAGCCCAACTTCCTCCATTCTCTCTGACTCTCTCACATTCTCAATTCCTCCATTCACAATTCACAAACCTACTGCCTTACTCAAGCTCCCTGAGTCCCAGACCGTCAGCCACTCACCGTCGTGCCGATAACCGTCGTCGCTTCACCTGCTGCTGCTGGTCCAGACCGTCACTCAGTTCACCGTCGCTTCGTCGCCTACAGCCTACTCTCACAGAGACACAGACTTCACTCGCCGCTCGTTGTTCGTCCTCAGCCACCACCCCAGTGTCGCCAGCCACCAGTCCACCAGACCACCACCAGGTAACTCGCTCAACCTAGGTTTCAGGCCGTGGCTTGACTGGCTTCTGTACTTTGTTTTTTTTTTTAAATTCAATTAATTCAGTCGCTAACTCGCTCAACCTAGGTTTCAGGCTGTCGTTGTTCGTCCTCAGCCACCAGTCCACCACCCAGTACCGTCCGTCGCCACTCGCCAGCCACCAGTCCACCACCAGGTAAGGGTTATGTGACTTCTGTCTTCTGTACTTTGTTTTCTGAAATTCAATTGCTGAATGCTGATGTTAATTGTGAGGTGGAGCCGTGGAGGCAGTATCACTGTAATTCGCAATTGTTAATTGTTAAATGTGATGTTAATTGTTAATTGTGATGTTAATTGTGAGATGGGTTCAGCTGTCAAATTGTATTGTGCCCTGGTTGCTGAAATTGTATTGTATTGTTGACTCGCTGACTTGCTGGTTGCTGAAATTGTATTGCTGAGTTGCTGACTTGCTGGTTGCTGAAATTGTATTGCTGACTTGCTGGTTGCTGAAATTGTATTGTTGACTTGCTGGTTGCTGAAATTGTATTGTTGTGTTGCTCACTTTGCTGTGTTGTCTTGCTGAAATGTGTTGTTGTGTTGCTGAAATTGTCAGGAATGTCTTCTAGTTCCTCTGCTTCATGCAATGTCAGTGGTAGTAGTAATTCATCTGAGTCAATGAAAGACCTCTACCCTTTGTGGAAGTTTGTTGTTAAGGGTGATAAAATATCGGGTGGTGGAGGAAATTATAATTGGAAATGTAACTTTTGCGGCGAAGTTAAAAATGGTTCATACACTAGAGTGAAAGCTCATTTGCTAGGTGAACAAGGGAAAGGGATTCAAACTTGTAATAAAGTGAAAATTGATGACCTTGCTAAACTAAGATCGCTTCATCGTGAATCCGAGGATTATAAAAAATCTTTGTTACCAAAAGTTCCACCTTTTTCAAATGAACCCATATCTTCTCACACATCAACTGAAGCTACATCAATGAGACTAGGTTCATTTGATAATGTAAAGAAGAGGAAATCAAAAAATACAATTTCCGATGCTTTTAATGTGAAATCTCGTGACCACTTGGATTCTGAAATTGCTAGAATGTTTTACACAGGGGGGTTGCCTTTTAATCTTGCTAGAAACCCTTACTATGTTAGTTCATATACAATGGCTGCCAATTCTAATCTCTCTGGTTATAAGCCTCCCGGATACAACAAACTTAGAACAACTTTGCTTTGTAAAGAGACAGAAAATGTGGATAGGTTATTACAACCTATGAAAGCCACATGGAAAACAAAAGGTGTTAGCATTGTTAGTGATGGGTGGAGTGATCCACAAAGAAGGCCTTTGATTAACATTATGATTGCTTCTGAAACGGGTCCTATGTTTATGAAAGCTATTGATTGCTCGGGTGAGATTAAGGACAAAGATTTCATTGCTACCTTACTAAGTGAGGTGATTGATGAAATTGGAGATCAAAATGTTGTTCAAATAATCACAGATAATGCAAGTAATTGTAAGGCTGCAGGGGAACTGGTTGAGGGTAGGTATCCTCATATATATTGGACACCATGTGTTGTTCATACACTTAATCTTGCAATGAAAAGCATCTGTGCAGCTAAGAATGTGTTGAATAATGTTGAAGTATATGATGAATGTCATTGGATAACGGAAGTTCATGCAGATGCCTTGTTCATTAAAAATTACATAAAGAATCATTCGATGAGGCTTTCAATGTTCAATAAGTTTTCGCCATTAAAACTACTTTGCATTGCCGACACTCGTTTTGCTTCAATTGTGTGCATGCTTAAAAGGTTGAAACTCCTTAAAACATCACTTCAATCAATGGTTATTAGTGAGAATTGGTCCTTATACAAGGATGATCGACGCGGGCAAGCCTCACATGTAAGGGAAAAGATTTTGGATGAAATATGGTGGGAAAAAGTTGATTACATTCTTGATTTTACACGCCCAATCTATGAGATGATTAGGGTTTGTGACACCGACAAATCTTCCTTGCATTTGGTTTATGAAAGATGGGACATTATGGTTCAAAAGGTGAAAGATGCCATCTACAAGAAAGAGGGTAAACTAGATTATGAACAATCTACCTTCTTTAATGTAGTTAAAGGGATTCTTAGTAGTCGTTGGAGTAAGGGTAGTACTCCACTTCATTCATTAGCACATTCTTTGAATCCAAGGTAAGTTTTACTTATTTAATTCATCTTTATTTATTTTTCCTTGTTTTTTATTTAATTTCTTATGGCTATTCTTATTTTGTTGTTAAAGATTTTACACGGAAGAATGGCTTAATGAGGTCCCGGGACGAGTTGCTCCAAATGCCGACAATGAAATTTCCACACAAAGATTACAATGCTTTCGAAGGCTTTTCCAAAGTCCCGATGAAAGATTCAAGATCAACACGGAATTTGCAATATTCTCACAAAAATCAGAGGGGATCTTTCTCAACATTGATTGCATGCATGATATGGCTTTGATGGATGCTAAAAATTGGTGGGCAACTTATGGTTCCCAAGTGTCTATGCTTCAAGGTTTGGCTTATAAGCTATTAGGTCAACCTTCTTCCTCTTCTTGTAGTGAAAGGAATTGGAGCACCTATAAGTTTATTCATTCTTGCACTAGAAATAAGCTTACTCCTAAACGTGCTCAAGACTTGGTATACATTCATAACAACCTTCGATTACTTTCTAGGAGAAGTGAAGAATACACTAAGGGGAGATCTAAGTTGTGGGATGTGGGTGGAGATGAGCATGACAACCTAGGAGAGGTTGGTATTCTAGAGATGGCCGAGCTCTCACTTGATGAACCCGAGATGGAGAATATGATTTTTGATGATGTACTTGGTGATGGTGAAGAATGAAACTATTAGTACTTTTGTTTATTTTATTTATGATTTGTAAAACTATTATTAAGACATGTATTTGGTTTGATGGTTTCTTGATATGTATGAGACTACGTTCGTACACTTTGTTTATTTACTTGTTTTAACAAAATTGTGTGTTTTGAGGCTAATTATTTAGTGTTTTATTAAATAGGTTGTCAAATTCTCGTTTTTTTGATATATTATATGCCTTGTTATATGCCGTACCCGTGTCCCCTATTTCAGGATTGCCGTTTTCCCGTGTCCGTATCGTGTCCGTGTCGGTATCCGTGCAACATAGGTTGCCACAACCTGTCATCTGCTCAGCATAGTACTCAATTAGTTATCCGGAATTAATTTTCACGTTTGATAGTGTAATTTGAACTACCAATCCGACAACCAAATCCGGGTCGATTGTTACATACTCCATAATCCATATCAAACTAAACATAATCACCTTTAAAAAAAATACTCCAATCAACAAATACATTAAATTAAATCAACACTCAAATTACAAAGGAAACTCATTACATTCATTATTTATTCCTCATAGTAGAATCTAAAAACAACAACAATTTAGCATAAAAAAAAACCCTAAAAATAGAAAGAAAAATTACAAATTACAAATCAAAATAAAATTATGGTCGTTTATTAGAAGAATTCATCTTCTCATAAAATCTAATAGAAAGAAGAGATAAAGACAAATGAACCTCATCCTTCCCCAACCGATTATTCCCACCTTTGACAGCACGCGCCGGAATCGCACTCGACGGAGGCAGAATAGGCTGAGCAGAGCTCGAAGAAGCCGGGGCGGTCTTTGCGTGATTAAGCGCGTGAAGGCGACGAAACCCACCAAGAGCAAGAACAACAGATCTAAGTTGACGAGTACTATAATTAATACTATTACTCCATTGACGAGTACAGATCAACTCCCATAATCGTTCATCTTGAGCAGTCCGATTCCATTGTTTGCTTACGCATGAGGCTGTGGCTAGGGTTTTACCGTCGGCGTGTTTGAATACTTCGTAGAGGAGGTTTTCGTCGAGTTTTGCGAATTGAGAATCGGAATCGGAATCGGAATTGGGATTGGGATTGGTGGTTTGTTGAATTTGGTGTTGAATTAATGGGATGAATTTGGGTTTTTTGGGGGTTGTGGTGGGATTTGGATTGGAATCGGAGTTCATTGCTCGTTTCATGGTGGGTTGGATTGAGTTGGGTGGGAGGAGAGTAAAAGGTGAGGAGATAGGGAGGAGAGAGAAAATGAAGAGAGAGAGAGTAAAAGGGGGTGTGGGTTGTGTGGAAAAGAGGGGGCATAGGTGAGAGGGAAACCCACCTCACGCGTTTCCGGTCATTCAACTTTCCAACAATAAGACAACTATTGAAGTGCTGTTTTCTTCAATTTATTTTCAATTTAGTTCAAATTCTAATTTTCTTCTCTCATGTTCAGTAAATCAAAATAGGCCCTGAGTTAATCAATTTTTTTTTTTCAAATTTGATTAATTAAGTATTCGTACAGAAACTCCGTAGATTAGTACTCCATATGTGCTTCGTGTCAGACTCACGTGCTTTCAATTAGCTATGCCCGGTTTATGACTTTCGGGTTGGGTCGGGCCGAACCGAAATTGTCGAAAAGTTGGCCCATGCATGGCCCAGACCCACGCGTCATCATGTCGAGCCTGCATGCTAAGCAAAATTGCATTGATTTTAGCATGTTTTATTGTGTCATGTCTTATCATGCTTCTTCTAAATAAAGGTGGCCCACGGCCCACACGAACAGCTTCGTGTCGTGCCCTGCCTTTTTCGTGCCCGTGTTGTGTCGTGCCATGCCTTTTCCGTGCTGGGACGTGCCAGGCTTCGTTCCAACTTGGCTCAGTGCTATCTTTACCTCATGCACCATGGTACCATACAATCGATTGTATCTATTAATGGTGTAGTATTAACATTTACGAGTATTCATTGTGCTTAAATGAGCAAAATATGTACTCCGTAGTACGTAGTATATAATACGAAGTAATAAAAAAAGGTGGGTATGCTAACCTTCATCCAAAAAAACTTCGAGTCCTTTGTTTAAAAATTGCTTTGATTTAACGGGTTAGTATAGGAAGAATTAAATTGAATAGAGTAAAATATTGTACAAGTGGATTTGTTGGAAATTATTCAAATTAATAAACAATACTAGCTAGTGATGCAATGGATATAGTAAACATAGTTGTGAAAGGACCATCTCAAACTAAAAGCTTAGGCTAATAGTTAAGGCTCAAGATCGGTTTATATACTATCAATAATAATATAGATTTATGGGGCAAATAAAAGAAAATGAATGTGATAGTATATTACGAGTAGGGGTACGTGTTCGCAGTGCGATTTGGATCCCAAACCGCAAAATTGCGGTTTGAACTCCTTTTTTCAAACAGCACCGCAAAATGTAGTTTGGTGCGGTGCGGTGCGCTGTTTGCGGTTAAGGCACTTTTTTAAAAAAAATTGTAAATAATTTTTTTTTAAAAAAAACTTTTTATTTTATTTTGTGATTATTAATATATAATTTAAATATTAAACTTTTTTTAAACTTTTAATTAGGTAATAGTAAAAAATTTGCACTATAATTTTAAGCTATTTTAAATACTTTTTAATAGAAATAGTATAAAATTCTTTTTTTTTTTTAAAAAAAGGAAATAGTATAAATTGGTATATGGTTTGCGGTGCGGCTTGATCAAAAATATTTTGGAAACCGCACCGTAATTTTCAAACCGCAAACCGTAAAATTGCAGTTTGGTGTGGTCCATATCACACTTTGAACATCCCTAATTACAAGTACTAATATAATTTGCATGTACAAAATGCGGAAAACTAAGTTTCAATCACGCCTTCAAGCCTTTTTTATCCCTAATGTGTTGTGTTTTTTTCTTCTTCTCTAACATTAGCTTCTGGGCAATAATCTTAGGGCTTGTTCAGATATACTACTGAAAACAACCAAATTGAACTGAACTGATTGAGGCTAAACTGAAATGAACTGATTGGAGTTGAACTGATTGGAGCTGAACTGATTGGAGCTGAACTGAACTGAGAATAAAGCTGAAATGAATTGTTTATGAGAGAAGGAAATTATGAACTAAATTGAACTGATTGGAATTGAACTGAACTACTGAAATGAACTTATCGAAACTAGTGTGATTTCTATGTTATGTATGGTCGTGCCTAAGGGCATATCGGTCAAAGGTAGGGCATTTCCCATTTTTATAGGAACTTCTGTACCAGAAACAATGGTGTTTCGGGGTTTTCTGATGTCCTGCGGGAGAGTTACAATTCCGAGACTGGAACCGGACGCCTGTACCTGCAAAATAACGGAGACTCCTGTGAGCTCCGCCTCCAACGGTCAAGTTAGTACCTGATTAAGGAGTAATTAATGCGGAAATTAAAGTAATAAGGTCTCTCTAGGTGAGAGTGTTTAATGTAGGTAATCTGCTTTGTTAGCGAGATCAGCCGATTATTAGTGTGTTCCGTAATGTTTTTTGCGTGTCCCCTTAATGAGGATTAAGGGAGGTATTTATAACCTTGGGAAACGTGTCCATCCTAGGTTTAGGTAAACCTAGGGCTGATTAGGCTTCCCTCGGAAGTTGGGCCTGGGTGGCCGGGTTCTCCATTAGGCATGGAGTATGCCACATGTCGTGACATAACAGGTCCAAGGTGGACGAATAAGCGCGTGCCACGTGGCAAGTCCTGACAGTTCCAACTAGGAGACACTTGGCAGGACCTGATTGGTCCACTTGGCGCATTCCGATTGGTGGGAGCAAAATCCCCTAATCATTTGCCCCTCACAGGTGGCACGTGACTGGTCACGTGTTACCTGTGACAGGTGTCGCACAGTAACGGGCGACGACCTTCTACAGGTGTTAGTCGGCGAAAGGACGAGAGATTTTCCCGCCCAAATTTTGAATTCTGGAAGTGACCCTTCGCCTTCTCACTTCGCCTATATAAGGGAGAGTTGCCTTGAGTCATTTTCACACTTTGAGAACTATTTGAGAACATTCGGACCCCTGAACTTGCTCTGACATTTTGGACTTTTTCTGCCTACCGCCTGTTCTGACAAGCCGACTACACAGGATTTTCAGAACTTCATCAACCGTCACTCGTTCAGGTAACTCAGTTCTCTTACTCTTAATTTTCTTTTTATTTTCTGAAATGGCACCACGGAAGCACACGACACGACCTAGGTTAGTGATCAGCCGGTCACCGGGGACGGCTGAATCTAGGACTAGGAGTGCCGCCTGCCCTTTTCCGGACCCATCTTTGCCCTTTATACAAAGTCTGACTGTATCTGTGTCTATGCAGAGCAGGATGGCCAGAACGAAAAAGACAGCTAGGATCTCAAATTCAGACGGCTCCTCCCACAGGGTGCCGATTAGTGAAACATCTGACCAGGCGCCAGATGTTGAAGTGAGACAAGGCGGCCTGGATGCCGGCAATTCTGTGGGGGGAGTCATAGTGACCCCTTCCAATTTAACAGTTAACAAATCTGCTCCTTTTCAAAGAGAGGAGGCGGGCCCCTCCGGGAGAGGGGAGGAGTCGTCCTCTTCAGACTCGTCCGAGGACGATTCCTCGTCAAGCTCTTCTGGCCATGCTTCTTTGGGTACAGAAGAGAAAAACAGCCGCCTGCAAGAGGCGAGACTTTCTCACACAATTGAGAAGGGGGACAATTGGGCGGAACCATCCGCCTCTTACCGAGAGCTAAATACCCCCTACTACTGCACGGTACCTCGGGGCCGAATCACAGCCATGCAAGAGAAAGTGGAGAGCTTTATTGCCAACCACACCATGGGCCCCGATTTTCTAGTGTTTGTGCCGGATCCAGAAGACACAGTCGTCTGGCCGGCTGGTTCTAGTTACGAAAGCTCCTGCTTTGGCTGCTACGAGGCGGCCATCAAGGCAGGGCTTCGCTTCCCATTACATCCGGCTGTTCAGCGGATTTTGGATGGGTATGAGTTGGGGTTATGGCAGTTAGCTCCAAACTCCTGGGTCAACGTACTCGGCTATGTGGCCGGGTGCGAACTGCACGGGGTGGAGCCGAGCTTCGAGGCTTTCGCCCACATGAACTATCTCAGCCGGACCCCTAAGTCAGGCGGTACCGGCTGGTATCAATTGACAAGCCACAGGGGCTACCTCATGACGAGAGGTAAAGAAAACAAGTGGAAGGACTGGCGGAGCACCTTCCTCATCATTGAGAGTTCTGACATTGAGCAGAACAAGCGCTTCAATAGGTGGAACAGGAATCCGCCCCTTCTTGCAGGCGGCCGTAGCATGCCGCCTGTTCCCCCCAAGGCTAAGAAAGAGATCCTTGACAAAGGACTCTTTAAAGTAGAGTCGAGGGTCGACTCTACTTCAGGGGTACGAGAGCAAGTACCCCTGCACTGCGTCCCGAGCTTCAAGTGGCTCTATGACGAGTACTTTTTGGCCGCCTGTGGCCTCAGCAGTCGGTGCTCAAGAGGTAGTCGGCCTGTCGAATACTCTGTTGTTCCATACATTTGTTGTTTATCTTTTATTAACTTTGCTGTTTGTTTTTGCAGCTGACGCCATGAGCAAAATCACCGCCTCCAAGACTGCGGCGGCCATGTTGCGGGCCTCTATTATGCAACAAGCTTCAACCGACTCCCCCAAAAAGGGGGCACCCTTGGTGAGCTCCGAACCTTTCACCCTCTTTTTGGAGTGTTTATGCATATACTGACTTTTTTCTTCTGTTTTAGACGGGTGCTCCAAGAGCTTCATCTTCCCAACAGCCGGACCCCAAGGCCCGGAAGACGACTGTTGGGAGCTCTCCTGGTTCTGCCAGGAAACAGGTGGCGGCTGAGAAACAGCCGGCCACTTCTTCTAAAGCTCCAACTGGGCCGCCTAGAGGTATGAAGTTGTCCTTGTAAATTTTAGACTTGCTCTTTTTTTTACTAAGTCTAATCCGTTTGTTTATGCTTGATGCAGCCGGCCCCCAGGGGCCTGACTTGGTAGAGATGGACAAGTCTATGATCAGGGCAGTTCCTCCGGCTGAAAGGGAGGCGGTCAGGGGTGTCGGCACCCTTGACCTTGACGGGATTGCAGGGGTCCTTGCTGAGGTATACTTAGCATATTTTTGAGTATTTGAATTTTCTGGACGCCTGTTTTCTTTTTTGTTTGGAAACTGACGCCTGTTTTTTTTTTTTGTTTTTTTACTTAGGCCCTACTCCGAGTTAACGGCCTTCGCAAGCCGCTTGATCGGAAAAACAAAGAGGTAAAGGCTGCGAAAGCTATGGCCGCCGACTGTGATAAGGCAATGTTTCAAATTGCCCAAAATGAAGTACTGACCATTGATATTCTTTA